GTGACAAGAAAGGGCTCCTCTTTTAAGTTGAGGTACTTATAGTATATGACCTTATACGGATGGTCGAAATTATATTCTGTCGGTATAAGGTCCGTTTTAATTTCGATTAAGTGGTTTAGACATGGATCCTTGAGGATTTCAAGATGTCCTCTGAAGTTACTCTGCATCAACTTGAATGAAGACCGTGTTTTTAGCGATAAGACACTTAAAGTTGTCTCGTTTTGTATGTATTGTATAAGACATGCTAACCGCTGGATTTGTTAATTTCATAATTTCTTAATTCCCATCAGTTTTGAAAAAAAAACTTCTTTATCTTTAGAACGTCTATTTTGAATAGGTGTGGATAACTGGTGATCTGTATACTGTCAAAGCTTTTATTAAAGTATATAGATATACAGTGTAAGTCAGTGTAGTAGTTACTTAACAAAGGAGCAAGATTTGGTCCTTTGTAGATCTTCCTTCCTTGAAGCCACACTGGTATTCACCTAGTATGTTCTCAACATATGACGTCATTTCATCTTCGCCTGGTGCCCTTCCATTTTTCATCTTCATTACAATTCTTGTTGTCTCGTCGAAATATGGTAGTTCTACTTTTGGTTCAGCAGTTTGTATCTCCGGTTCCGAAACATCTGCTATATTCCCCACATTCAAGTTCGAGAAGTATTCTTCCCATCTCTTCATGACCTCCTCTTCCGCAGTCAGGAGTGTGTACCATCCTTGTCTCTGTTGATTATAGTTCTCCTCGATATCTTGGATCCTTCTCCTCATCATTTGACTTTGTATGCCTTACCGAAACTAAATACATTTCGGTTTGACGAGCTATGATTCGATTTACCGAAAATTTTAGATTTAGCGAAATCCTGTTTAATTGGTATTAGAAAAATCTGATGGTGGAGGTGTTTCACTGCTGGCAATATTGTCCTGTAATCTTCTTTGGCAATAAAGTGAATTATTATTATTATTTTCTCCTTGCTTCATCAACGAGTTATGGAAATCTTCTTTGGCTTTTCCATTACCTTTTGGGTACTGTGGTGATGAAGTCATAAAACACGATAAGACACATAACCACACCTTGACTGGTGAGATAAAATCTCGCCTTCACACAGGCTAACAGACTAGCAGAAAACCACCACATTCTTCCAATACCTTTTAACCCTTTGTGTCCTAAAAAGTAAAAAATTTTGAAACTTTGTGACAGAATTAAGTCGCTATCAAAATACACTCTACAGTAAAGACCTTTGGAATCAATTTTAGCAAAATATGCAATCCCCCATTCTGGGAGGATAATGGTACTTGAGAGTACCATCAGGCATTAAAATATATTTTAGTGATGTTGGAGTATACAAAAACTTAGTAGGATGAGTAGGATAGGCTCAAGGTCTATAGAACATAAGGTTACCTAATTCCCTATGCCTCTGTAGTATCGATTATTACCCCGCAGAATGACGTCACTGGTTCGATACAGTCAGAGTAGAGTTGAGTAAAAGATAGCCTATACTGTGGTACAGGCTATATAAAATATTTAAACCTCGCATCGTGTTGTGTTGTTCATAGAACCAACTACGTCACTGACCCACCTTGCCCCTCAGAGGCCTTGAGATAGGCCTTGCTCTCAAGGATTAACCGCACAGAAAATTGGTTCGATACCGCTGAACCACCTCAGCATTGTGCGCAAGAGCTGAATTTTATATGAATATCTTGGGAGGAACGTTGAAGTAACACTAGTACTTCCTTCATCAGAATCTTATCAAGGTAGTTCTGTGAGTTGATCTTGACTCCCTGATCAACAAAAACCAGCAGTGTTGAATCACTTCAGCCCAAACCATGACCTAAGTAACATAGAACTACGTTTCTTTTCAACGTGGATCACGTTAGACGTGAAAGATGTCTTTGCATCTTGATGTTACGAAGCCCCAAACGATGTTTGAAGATCAAAAATTCACAGCTGATATTCATCTCATTAGTCGTTTTTCTAAGATACTTCTTAGAATTCTGCTTAATCATGATGGAAGTTGCGGAAATTTTTAGTCTTCCACTTCTGAGACGATATTCGATGCTACAAGAAACACCGGTGATTGGCCCGATCTTCTTCTAAGTCACCTCGGCTTAACTCAACCTCAAAAACGTGACACGGATATGGATTAATATACATACACTGTTGGAAATAATTCACGAGCACACCCTATATAATCTGAACGCGTGAAGATAAATCCATAATATTTGCGGAGTACAAAGCTTTACTGTAGACGAGTTTATTCAGCGAGTTTCGAGTTGCTCCGTCGCGGCATTGTTAACTGAGCCGCCCTTCCAAGTGGAACATTCCGTCGCTATGGAGACCGAAGTGGATGGAAAATACCGGTCGTTTTTAGTGTGGTGTGAGGAACCACATTGTTATCGTACTCTGTGCGCAATGGATGAGCGATCGCGTTACTTAAGCGAGTTTGGGCGAGGAATGTTTGTGGGTATGTACATTGAGGGTGTATCGTTCCGTGAAATTGCGCGTCGTCTCGAGCGGTCGTTATCGGCAGTGCAACGGGCATGGCGAGAATGGTCTGAGGTAGGACATAGGTACCTACAGCCGCGACCCCAGCACACGAGGATCGCACTTTTGTGCTCAGCGCTTTAGCGTCGTATGCGTCCTCCTCAAGGCAACTTGGAGCTGTTTGACCACCGGCAGGGGAAGGCTCACTCACTACGCGAACTGTATGGCGGCGTTTGGTAGATAGTGCGTCGTGCGATACAGCGGATTCCAGTAACACCCGAGCACCGCAGCATACGTCACGAGTGGGTCAACGCTAGGCATTAGTGGGTTGCCGAGTAGAGGGACATTTTGTTTTCCGACGAATCAAGATTCGAATTGAGCACCGGTGATGCGCGAATTTTAGTTCGTCGGAGACGTGGTGATCGTCTACTCGAGCAGTGCGTGCAAGAATGCCCTATCCACCGACAACCGAACATTATGGTATGGGGTGCGATTACACATGGTGGACGTACACGTCTGCTGCGTGTATAGCAAACCATGACGGGTCAACGATACGTAGATGAGGTGCTATGGTCCGTTGTGCTTCCCTATGTTCGGCGGCGTCCAGGTCTCCTATATATGCACGACAACGTCCGAACGCACATCGGGCGTATTGTACAGACCTTTGTGGAAGAGCATCATATACGAATGCTTCCTAGGTCAGCTCGTTTTCCGGATCTGAGTCCAATCGAACATGTTTGGGAAATGACTGGTCGGAGACTTCCACGTTATCCGGCTTCCCCGGCTAACGTTTTGGTGCTGTGGAGGCGAGTTGAGGTGGCATAGTTGACCATCCCTCTCGCTACGATACAGCGACTTATAGACTCCATGCCACGTCGTGTAGCGATGGTACGCGAAGCTCACGAGGGATACTCTCGCTATTGATGTTTCATCCCCCAGCAGAGTTGTGCCGCTCTCCATGTGAGAGTAAGTTACACTACTTTCGTACTACTTCCATACCAAATTTTATTCCGCTAGACACACGCGTTCAGATTATACAGGGTGTGCTCGTGAATTATTTCCAACAGTGTATATGTGGTAATATATGAAAAGTAAAGATGACGCAAGATGTAAAAAGATAGAATCTAGGATAAAAAAGATGTTATAATCGGAGAAATAAATGAAAGAATATGAGAAATGGTGTAAAGGTAGTTACGTAATCGAAAAAGAGAAAAGGAACATAAAAGTGAAGTGCCAAAAAAACATAATCTCAAACTTAACGGTTTTATTATAGTGAGAGCCATTAGGAGGTATTTGGAGCAATTAGAAGCCATTAGGAGCCAAAAAAAAAAGAAATCGTCTCTAAAATATCTTTAAGATAGATGTACCTAAAGGAAATGATTCGATTTAACGTTGAAACGATGAGAGTATAGTATAACGATAGTGTAGGATGATAACGAAGGGAGGAGAGACAGAAGGAGAGGCGCCATTAAATGCGCGAGAGAGGCGAAAGTGGATTACGCGCAAATTCTGAATTATTGCGGCTACGAGCGTCGCCTCCTTTGTGCCGTCCGTCTTAGCTAACTTCATTTCGCAGTGCCGCGCCGTCGCCGCCACCAATTTGCCGAAATTCCCTATTACGGCCGCGGCTTATGCCGTCCTAATTGAATCATAAACATTATAGAATCGTCTTTTCAGACAACGCCAAAGTGAAATTTTCATATCTTTTTATGTTTATACATAAATTATCATATCTAATATTTTTTGATTTAAGCCCTATTCCTTATAGACCCAAAAAGACAGATAAAGTTATCAATTTAAAGAGGTTTTGAAATCGTTGTTCTTCGTATACAAACCACTAAATTTCACATTACCCACTCCCCAAAACGTACAAACCGCGAGGCTTAGGGTAAAGGATGAGCAAAAAGAGAGAGAAAGAATTGAAGTCGAAGGAAGTAACAAAAGCGGGCTCCCTCCGACCGACATTAGCCGTACGTCGACGTGATTTCTTAAGACCGAGAGGCCCGAGAGATGCGTCCCGTGGGATTGCGAAAGCAAATTGAACTCTAAACATTTTAACTGGGGGACGCGAAGCCCCCTTGGGGTGAAGGATTTGCGGGACCACCACCAAACATTATTACCAACGTCAAACAAATGATAACCGCGGCTGGGTACGCATTTTTTTTTGGTTGTCGTCGTTTCACTCGCTCACTCGATTACGCCAATCGGTCGTTCAATATTTCATCGTCCAATCGCGACGAACCCTGTTAACAGACACTATTTTTAGCGGATATTTTCTATTTTTTTTTATCGTTTCAAATAGGCGGCTCTTCTCGCCGATAACTAGACTAAATTGGCCTTAAATAGACGCGTGTCGGTAACGCCAATTGATTAGAAGGACAATGAAATTTGAAAATCGCGCCTTAAATGAAACCAAGTATAAAAAAGAGACGGTTTTAACCGAGCGGTCGGGTTGAAAGGTTAACTGACGAATTACGACTGTCTAACATCATTGGGAGAGTTAAGTTACATAATAGGCTAATTCATATATCATTTATTAAAAAAGATTAAAAATAAAACAATTTTATTAATATTGTTTTAATTAAGACGACGAATTTGAGGCCATTTTGAGATGTTGACGACGTCGGTATCCGGGGAAATCCCGCTTTGATCCCGACTCCCGGTTTCGTAATTATCTGATTAATTAATTGCACATTCACTCTAATTTGCGAGGGATATTTATTTATGAGCAGCACCGTGGCGGCGGCGTCGGCGTCATTAATGTAATTACCGCAGGTGTTGCTAGCGCGATTTGCCGACCCTGATTTACCTGAAGATGTCTCAAATTTAGATGGGATTAAATAACCGGCGCCTCCACCATTTATAAACAATTTTCTATCGTTATTTTTAAACCTTTTTTGCGTCCAACCAAACGCCTCCTTTAACGGTCGTTATAAATCCTAAACCGATCTCGAGTGGAGTTTTTGTTTTTTCATTGACGGAGAAATCAAAATTTTTTAGCAAAGTCACTAAACATATTTTGGTCTCCATTAAGCCGAATCTCGACCCTAAAAATAATTTTTTTAAATTAATCAAGAAATAAACATATTTCAATAATAAAGATTGTTGGAATCAAAACGTTTCATAAATTGTAGCCCCTCGGCTGTCTAAACTTAATACACGCACTCTATGACCTTCCCTGATTATGATCAAAATGTATTATTTCGCCTGATTAAGCCAAAATCTCCTATAACTGAGTCGCTGTAAAATATTAATCAGTTTTGGGTTGAATTGTAGCCCCTCGGCCGCAAACGACCTCGATTAAATTTAGTGTTCAAACTCAAAATTGACGATGCAAATTATTGTATTAATTATTACAACAATAGTATTGACCAGTTTTGGGTTGATATAATATTTTGTAGCGCCTCGGCCTCGGCCTCGATTACAATGTATTAAGCCAAAGTGGCTTTACATGCTTTACAAAGTATAGAGAAGATAAAGAATTAATTGTAACTCCTCCTTCCTACAAAGAGTCTATGACTAACTTTGAAATGATATAGAATTTTTAATCACAAAATATAGAATATTACCGAAATTTGATTGTATATTTCTTAAATTTGACAATTTCATAACGAATTTTACTTCAAGTTTATGTGGATGTGGAATTAAATGTTCCAATCATATAGAATTTTGTTAATTTTCGTTAAATTATACAAAGTTTTAAGAAATTCCGTAAATTTGAAAAGAAATTTTTGGTAAAATTAGGAAAATCCACTTAAATATTCCACTTAGATGTAGAATTTTTATGGATTTACATCACATTTTAATAAAAATTGGTATGTTTCTGATAGAAATGTTTTAATAAAGCTAATATTCATAAAAATTCCGGTTTAATACATTCTGAGAGTGGAATTAAACCTTTTAAGGTTATGGAATTTCGTGGAATATGTCAAATTTCACTAGATTTTAAGAATTAAACTAAGTATTAACAAAAATTTGACAAATTATAACAAAAATACATTATATTTTAGCGAAATTTGAATCAATTGACTTAAAATTCCACGAAAATTCCACCTAATGAATGAATGAAATTCCACCTGGAATTTTAATGGATATTCATCATATTTTAAAAATTGGTGTGTTTAATGGAAATGTTTCGAGTAAGATAAAATTTAGGTTTAATACATTCTAAAAGTGGAATTAAACCTTTCAAAGTTATGGATTTTCGTGGAATACACGGATTTGAACCAAATTTTAAGAATTAAATTGAGTATTAAGCAAAATCTGACAAATTATAGCAAACAATGCATTATATTTTTGCGAATTTTTAATTAATTAACTTAGAATTCCACTAAAATTCCACGTAAATGTGGAATTTTGATGAATATTTATCAAGTTTTAATAAAAAATGGTGTTTCTAGTGAAAATATTTTGAGTAAGCTAATAATTATGAAGATTGGGGTTTAATACATCCAGAATGCGGAATTAAATCTTTCAAAGTTATGGAATTTCGTGGAATACGTCAAATTGCATTAGATTTTAAGCATTAAATTAATGGAAATATTTTGAGTAAGCTAATATTTAGAAAAAATTGGATTTAACACATCCAGAAAGTGGAATTAAAAGTTTCAAAATTGTGGAATTTCGTGGAATACGTCGAATTGCATCAGATGTTAAGAATTAAATTAAGTATTAAGTAAGATCTGACAAATTGTTGGGAAATTTGAATCAGCTGACTGAAAATTCCACCTAGATGTGGAATTTAATGGGTATTTATCACCTTTTAATAAAACTTAATGTGTTTTCAAATGTTTAATAAAATAAACAAATAAACATTTCAAAGTTGTGGAATTTGGTGAAATACGCCGAATTCTAAGAGTATTTAAGAATTACATTAAATATTAAAGAAAATTCGACCTATTGTAACAAAAATGCATTCTATTTTTGCGAAATTTGAATTAATCAACTTAGAATTCCACTAAAATTCCACCTTGATGTGGAATTCCTGATGTGGAAAGTGATTTTCCTGTCGAATTCCACCAGATTTAAAGAATTAAATTAAGTATTAAGGAAAATCCGACAAGTTATAACAAAAAATATTCTATTTTTACGAAATTTGAATCGGTTAACTTAAAATTCCACTAAAATTCCTTTCCAAGTTATAGAATTTCGTGGAATATGCCAAATTCCACCCGATTTTAAGAATTAAATTAAATATTAAGGAAAATCTGACTAATTTTAACAAATATTCATTCTATTTTTGTGAAATTTGACTACGTTAACTTAGAATTCCACTAAAATTCCACCTTGATGTGGAATTTTTATGGATATTCATCACGTTTTAATAAAAATTAGTGTATTTCTATTGGAAACATTTTGATTAAGCTAAGATTTATGGAAATTCCGGTTTAGTATATTCTAAAAGTGGAATTAAACCTCTCAAAGTGGTGGAATTTCGTGGAATATGTCGAATTTCACCAGATTTTAAGAATTAAATCAAAGGCTAAGAAAAATCTGTTAAATTTTAACAAAAATGCATTCTATTTTTGCGAAATTTAAGTACGTTAACTTAGAATCCACTAAAATTCCACCTTGATGTGGAATTTTAATGGATATTCATCACGTTTTAATAAAAATTGGTATATTTTTATTGGAAACATTTTGCTTAAGCTAATATATATGATAATTCCGGTTTAGTATATTCTAAAAGTGGAATTAAACCTCTCAAAGTGATGGAATTTCGTGGAATATGTCGAATTTCACCAGATTTTAAGAATTAAATCAAAGACTAAGGAGAATCTGTTAAATTTTAACAAAAATGCATTCTATTTTTGCGAAATTTGAGTACGTTAACTTAGAATTCCACTAAAATTCCACCTTGATGTGGAATATTAATGGATATTCATCACGTTTTAATAAAAATTGGTATGTTTCTATTGAAAATATTTTGATTAAGCTAATATATATGCAAATTCGAATTAGTACATTCTAAAAGTGGAATTAAACCTCTTAAAGTTCGGGAAGCTTTAAAATTCCACATAAATGTGGAATTTTATTTGATTTTCATCACATTTCAACGAAAATCTGTGGATTAGTTATGGAAATTTGGAAAAATTCATGTTGAATCTTTTCTGATGTGGAATTAATTTTTTCATGGTTGTGGAATTTAGTGGAATACGTTGAAATAAACCGTTTCTGTTTAAAATACCGCAAAATTAAAAAAAAATGAATAAGAAATTAGGATTGAAGATATGCATAGAATGGACATTTCAAAATATTGTATCTTAAAAACGAATTGAGATATCATTATGAAATAAAGAACATTTTGAAGCAAATTTAATCAGGATTTAGTGTGCCAAAAAGAATTTTTTAATTCCCCTAAATTTAGATGTTATGATTTTTTAAATCCAACTCTCCATGATTAAAATGATTTTATGATTTGATGAATTTTAAAACATTATATCTTAAAAACTAATTGAGATATCACGACGAAATATGAACCATTTTAAAGCAAATTTAATCAGGATTAAGCGTGCCAAAAATAATTTCTTAACTTCCAACAATTTAATTGTTACGACTTTTTCATTGTAATATTTACCTATACAAATTCTTGGTCCATCTCCAAATGGGATAAAAGTTCCAGGAATGATGTGTTTTTTATTCTCATCGGAGAATCTATCGGGATCGAAACGAAGAGGATCCGGGAAAAATTCTGGATCGCGGTGTAATCCTAGCGAAGAAATGAGTACTTGCACACCTTTTTCAAGTGTAACATCACTTCCGGGTATTCGATAATCTTCGGTACATATTCTATTAAAAATAGTTAACGGCGGATATTTCCTCATCGTCTCTAAAACAACTTGGTCTAAATATCTCATTTCTTTGAGACTCTCATAACTTAATTCTCCGTCATTTCTGTTTAACACAATCTTTATTTCATTTCGTAATTTGTTTTGAATTTCCTTATTTAATCCTAACTCGCTGAGACAAAACGTTAAAAGAGTCGCTGTGGTATCAAACCCAGCTATAAAAAAGATAAAAGCTTGCGCGATTACTTCATCCATACTCAAAGTAAGATCCTTTTTGAGTTCGATTAATAACTGCATAAAATCGTTTCTTACAACATCATTTTCCGTCCTATATAAATAAGTATCAGTAACGATTTTATTAAAAAATAATTCGATATCTTTTGCGATTAAGATAAAACGCAATTTTTTCGCAAATCCGGGAAAAACGTGCTGGAAAATTCCTTTAATCGCTTTAAACGGTGTTTCATGAAAAATTTTTCTCCCATAATCGCGAAATTTCGAATTGGGATTTTTAAAACTGTTACAATCAATACCAAAAGCGCAAGATCCAATCACATCGGTCGTAAACAAGGCTAAAATTTCTTTAGCATCGATAACCTCACCGGTTTTAATTAACTCCTCGATTCGATCTTTTAACGGATAACTACACTCCAACATCGTGTTAAACATCATCTTCATTTTTCCGGATGTAAAAGTTGGGGTTAATTTAGCCCGTAAGTTTTTCCATTTGGTACCTTCGAGGAAAAATAGATTTCCCATTATCGGCTGATCTTTTATGTTGTGAAAAAGACCTCTATCGGTGAAATGAGCGAAATCTCTCACGAAAATGTTTCTTATTATCTCTGGGTCAATCGGGAAATATTGCGGGGAAGTAAATAAAAAAATTCCTCCATGTTTTACCCCCTTTTTTTTAAATTCTTTGTAGATGTTTTCGAATTGGATTGGAGGTGGGACACTTTTTAAATCACCGAATGGAAACGATGGATTTAAAGTTGGTATTTTTAATTTTTCCCAATAAGAATATCTTCTTTTTATAAATGTATAAAACGTTGCGAATAAAACGATTAATAACGTTATTAAAACGTACATGGTGTTTTATTGAGTGTGGTTTTGATACTGAACGTATTTTATCTTATCTCGCGGTTTTGTTCAAGTATGATGATTAATTTACTTTTATTTGTTTCAGAACAAGCTTCAGACCAGTTTTGGATAACAATTCAACAAGATCTACACCTCCGCTATTTTTTCCTCCGCATTTAGCGTCTCATCTCACCTCACAGTTTTCTCCACCATTATTTCCTGGATTAAAAGGTAAATTCTTATTAAAACCTTTAATCTTGATTAATTAAAAAGAATTAATTTAGATTAAAGTTTTAAATTGAAAGAAACAAAGTTTTAAATTAAGTTTTGATAAACGTGGCGCCATCTATTAATATCTATTAGAATTAAAGCGGTTAAATTTACAAAATGGAGTACTATGGAGTACTATGAACGTATTAGATTCACCCTAAATATTCAGGATTAACCAAGAAATATGTTTGGAACTACTTCCTGATCGCACATCTAACTGGGAATTCTTAGCTCATTGATTTGAGTTGCATGTTCTTAATGTTCTGTCATCACATGCGGCTTTCATCACAGCTTTGCTAGTGCTTGTCTAGCAATTAAGTGATACCTAGATGCTTGGCGTGATTTGAAAGAAGGTGTTTGTTAACCATAGGTTGCTGGTTTACTCAGCATCAAAAGTTTGCAAAATGCCCACCGAGACTGAATTAGTCAGACTTTTGAGGAATTGAAAACAACTATGCCAACAAATCGAACTTTCAGATATCGTTGGAAAACAAAGTTTACATGAAAAGTACTTGGTACATGCTAAAGACATGAGAAGGAGAAGAATAGGATAGGACAATCTGACAGGACAGAAAAAGGTGGAAAGGAACACTTATGTGGAATAATGTAACAGAAATTGTAACAGAACGAAGAGAGATGAGGAACTAGGTGGAGTGTATTTTGAAAAATTTGGTGCAGGGCTTGATAAAAATGTGTGGAAAAAACTAAAATTAGAAACGAGAAATCGCCTATCCTCACTCCGCCGAGGTCGCTTGCCAGAGCTCTCTAAATCTGACTTCATATTGATGTGGCAAAGATACAAGTCTGTCAGAAGAACATATTTATCAATTTATTATTAATACATCAACACGAGAGTATCAGCTTTACAGCATTGTAGCGCCTCGCCCGTAAGCGCCCTCTGCGATTTGAGGCCAAACCGTTCTTTAAATGTTTTGGAAGAGATACAAGCCTGCCATAAGATGATATTTATCCTCAAAGCTGATATATCTATGATGATGTATCAAATTCAGCGTCTTGCTGGTTTGAGGTAAATTTGTTTTTTTTTATTCAGATGTAAGGACCATTTCTATAGCTTCCTCCAAACCACTACCTTGAATCATAATCAACAAATCGTCAGCAAACAGAGAGAAAATGCCAAAATGGACAGTTTTGATTGAAAACATAGATTGTAACTCAAGAATAAAAACCGCTAGAAAGAAACGTCTCCAACAAAAATTGTTCATAATGAACGCAAAATATATAATCCNCTACCTTGAATCATAATCAACAAATCGTCAGCAAACAGAGAGAAAATGCCAAAATGGACAGTTTTGATTGAAAACATAGATTGTAACTCAAGAATAAAAACCGCTAGAAAGAAACGTCTCCAACAAAAATTGTTCATAATGAACGCAAAATATATAATCTATAATCAGTAAAAGCCTAACGATGAGAGTTCTTTATGTATGTATCAAGAAATACGAAAATGTCAAAATGGTCCATTTTGGTTATAAACATAGATTGTAACTCAAGAACCAAAACCGATAGAAAGAAACGTCTCCAACAAAAATTATTCGTAATGAACCCAAACTATTTAATCCATAACCAGTAAAAGCCTAACGATGAGAGTTCTTTATGTATGTACCAAGAAATACGAAAATGTCAAAATGGTCAATTTTGGTTATAAACATAGATTGTANGTGGAAAGGAACACTTATGTGGAATAATGTAACAGAAATTGTAACAGAACGAAGAGAGATGAGGAACTAGGTGGAGTGTATTTTGAAAAATTTGGTGCAGGGCTTGATAAAAATGTGTGGAAAAAACTAAAATTAGAAACGAGAAATCGCCTATCCTCACTCCGCCGAGGTCGCTTGCCAGAGCTCTCTAAATCTGACTTCATATTGATGTGGCAAAGATACAAGTCTGTCAGAAGAACATATTTATCAATTTATTATTAATACATCAACACGAGAGTATCAGCTTTACAGCATTGTAGCGCCTCGCCCGTAAGCGCCCTCTGCGATTTGAGGCCAAACCGTTCTTTAAATGTTTTGGAAGAGATACAAGCCTGCCATAAGATGATATTTATCCTCAAAGCTGATATATCTATGATGATGTATCAAATTCAGCGTCTTGCTGGTTTGAGGTAAATTTGTTTTTTTTTACTCAGATGTAAGGACCATTTCTATAGCTTCCTCCAAACCACTACCTTGAATCATAATCAACAAATCGTCAGCAAACAGAGAGAAAATGCCAAAATGGACAGTTTTGATTGAAAACATAGATTGTAACTCAAGAATCAAAACCGCTAGAAAGAAACGTCTTGTTCATAATGAACCCAAAATATATAATCTATAATCAGTAAAAGCCTAACGATGGGAGTTCTTTATGTATGTACCAAGAAATACGAAAATGTCAAAATGGTCAATTTTGGTTATAAACATAGATTGTAACTCATGAACCAAAAATCGATAGAAAGAAACGTCTCCAACAAAAATTATTCGTAATGAACCCAAACTATTTAATCCATAAGCAGTAAAAGTTTAACGATGACAGTTCTTTTTGTATGTACCAAGAAATACGAAAATGTCAACTTTAGTTATAAACATAGGTTGTAACTCAAGAACCAAAACCGATAGAAAGAAACGTCTCCAACAAAAATTGTTCATAATGAACCCTAACTATTTAATCCATAACCAGTAAACGCCTAACGATGAGAGTTCTTTATGTATGTACCAAGAAATACGAAAATGTCAAAATGGTCAATTTTGGTTATAAACATAGATTGTAACTCAATAACCAAAACCGATAGAAAGAAACGTCTCCAACAAAAATTGTTCATAATGAACCCAAAATATATAATCCACAATCAGCAAAAGCCTAACGATGATAGTTTTTTATGTATGTAGCAAGAAATACGAAAATATCAAAATGGTCAATTTTGGTTATAAACATAGATTGTAACTCAAGAACCAAAACCGATAGAAAGAAACGTCTCCAATAAAAATTGTTCATAATGAACCCAAAATATATAATCCATGATCAGCAAAAGCCTAACGATGACAGTTCTTTATGTATGTACCAAGAAATACGAAAATGTCAAAATGGTCAATTTGGGTTATAAACATAGATTGTAACACAAGAACCAAAACCGATAGAAAGAAACGTCTCCAACAAAAATTGTTGGTAATGAACCCAAACTATTTAATCCATAACCAGTAAAAGCCTAACGATGAGAGTTCTTTATGTATGTACCAAGAAATACGAATATGTCAAAATGGTCAATTTTGGTTATAAACATAGATTGTAACTCAAGAACCAAAACAGATGGAAAGAAAAGTCTCCAACAAAAATTGTTCATAATGAACCCAAAATATATAATCCTTAATCAGCAAAAGCCTAACGATGACAGTTCTTTATGTATGTACCAAGAAATACGAAAATGTCAAAATGGTCAATTTTGGTTATAAACACAGATTGTAACTCAATAGCCAAAACCGATAGAAAGAAACGTCTCCAACAAAAATTGTTCATAATGAACCCAAAATATATAATCCACAATCAGCAAAAGCCTAACGATGACAGTTTTTTATGTATGTAGCAAGAAATACGAAAATGTCAAAATGGTCAATTTTGGTTATAAACATAGATTGTAACTCAAGAACCAAAACCGATAGAAAGAAACGTCTCCAACAAAAATTGTTCATAATGAACCCAAACTATTTAATCCATAACCAGTAAAAGCCTAACGATGAGAGTTCTTTATGTATGTACCAAGAAATACGAAAATGTCAAAATGGTCAATTTTGGTTATAAACATAGGTTGTAACTCAAGAACCAAAACCGATAGAAAGAAACGTCTCCAACAAAAATTGTTCATAATGAACCCAAACTATTTAATCCATAACCAGTAAAAGCCTAACGATGAGAGTTCTTTATGTATGTACCAAGAAATACGAAAATGTCAAAATGGTCAATTTTGGTTATAAACATAGGTTGTAACTCAAGAACCAAAACCGATAGAAAGAAACGTCTCCAACAAAAATTGTTCATAATGAACCCAAACTATTTAATCCATAACCAGTAAAAGCCTAACGATGAGAGTTCTTTATGTATGTACCAAGAAATACGAAAATGTCAAAATGGTCAATTTTGGTTATAAACATAGGTTGTAACTCAAGAACCAAAACCGATAGAAAGAAACGTCTCCAACAAAAATTGTTCATAATGAACCCAAACTATTTAATCCATAACCAGTAAAAGCCTAACGATGAGAGTTCTTTATGTATGTACCAAGAAATACGAAAATGTCAAAATGGTCAATTTTGGTTATAAACATAGGTTGTAACTCAAGAACCAAAACCGATAGAAAGAAACGTCTCCAACAAAAATTGTTCATAATGAACCCAAACTATTTAATCCATAACCAGTAAAAGCCTAACGATGAGAGTTCTTTATGTATGTACCAAGAAATACGAAAATGTCAAAATGGTCAATTTTGGTTATAAACATAGGTTGCAACTCAAGAACCAAAACCGATAGAAAGAAACGTCTCCAACAAAAATTGTTCATAATGAACCCAAACTATTTAATCCATAACCAGTAAAAGCCTAACGATGAGAGTTCTTTATGTATGTACAAAGAAATACGAAAATGTAAAAATGAACAACTTTGGTTATAAACATAGGTTGTAACTTAAGAACCAAAACCGATAGAAAGAAACATCTCCAACAAAAATTGTTCATAATGAACCCAAACTATTTAATCCATAAGCAGTAAAAGCCTAACGATGAGAGTTCTTTATGTATGTACCAAGAAATACGAAATTGTAAGATTTTTTTTCATTGTATCTTCGGCACGGTATTATATCATGCATAAATATATTAAATAAGGTTGGTGATAAAATACCTCCTTGAGGAACTCCTACTTTAATACAGAGTGCACCATGTTGTTGTAACCAAGGTTTCTTACCGACACTCTCAAAATTGTTTGAAAAAGTTATAATGCGACATATTTTAGGAATAATAAACACTAACAAACAATATACAGCCTTATATTCAGCATTTGTTGGCTATAAGGCAGTGTGTTATATTGATGATTTATTCATTTTAAATATAACGATTTTGTGTTGATGTATCAGATCCAGCCCCTCGCCCGCAAGCGACCTCGGCGATATTAGATGATGTCGTTCATATGATGTCTTGGAAAGTGAACCAAACGTGCAACACTTGAACAAGACATCGTTTATCTACACTTCACCAAGGTCACTTGCGGGCGAGGCGCTAGAATTATCTAAAACTGACGATTGTGTGTTAATATATCAAATCCAGCGCTTCGCCCGCAAGCGACCTCGGCGATTTGAAGCGAAATCGTTCCTTTTACATCTTTGTAAAGGTACAACCTCTTCTATAAGAAGGCGTTTTTCCACAAACTGTCGAGGTCGTTTGCGGGCGAGGCAGTAGAATGCAGAATCCTCCGGGGCTGCCTATATGATATTAGTATATCAAATCTGGCGCCTCGCCCGCAAGAAACCTCAGCGATATTAGATGATATCGCCGATATATATCTTTGTACAGATACAAAATCTTTTATAAGAAAAAATTTACCCTCAAACCGCCGAGGTTGCTTGCGGGCGAGGCGGTAGAATCCTGCAAAACTGACGGATTCGTGTTGAGGTATTAAATTGACCTTGGCTGTTTGAGGAAAAATATCTTCTTATGATAGATTTGTTTTTTGCCAAAATATATAACGAACGATTTGGCCTCAAGCTAGAATGCTGCAAAGCAGAAAATTTAGGATTGATGTATTAATTCCAGCGCCTCACCCGCAAGTAACCTCGGCGATTTCAAGCATAATTGTTCCTTATGTATTTAAGTATGTGTATTTAAGAAAATTTGTCATATAAACATCTTACCGACACTCTCAAAATTGTTTGTAAAAGTTATAATTGGACATATTTTAGAAATAATAAACACTAACAAACAATATACAGCCTTATATCCAGCATTTGTTGGCTATAAGGCAGTGTGTTATATTGATGATTTATTCATTTTAAATATAACGATTTTGTGTTGATGTATCAGATCCAGCCCCTCGCCCGCAAGCGACCTCGGCGCTTTGAGGATAGATATCTTCTTAAAACGGACCTGTATCTTTACTAAAATATATAAGGAATGATTTCGCCTCAAAATGAATTCGCTGAATTTGATACATCAACACGAATTCGACAGCTTTGCAGGGTTGTAGCGCCGCTGACAACCTAAGACAAACGTGGTGATCAAAAGATGAAAGCTTACTTTGAACAAAATGCGTAACTCCACACAACTCAGATCTCTTTTAACTTTTAAATTTAAATCTTGCCTTTTGAAAAAGTGTTGAGAAATGCTTTGAGCAACATCGCTATGCAAAACCTTTGTTCCAAGACTTCTAGAACTGCACATTCACAGAATTACGTTGAATTCGTCAAACTGTTTCACTTCGTCAAAAGCAAAGCCTTTTCCAGATTTGTGCAAATTTCGTACTTTGGATAGATTTGGCAAGCAAAAGACTTGGTGTCTTAGAAAGGCAGCGAAGGAAGGCAATAACAACCTTAGGACATACTTAGAAGTCGTTCATCACAGAGATACATTGTACGAGTAGAAGCACTTTTTTATAATATACATCAATTTGCTAAAAAGATGGCAGGACACAAAACTCAACGCTCTGAATAAGGAGTACTGGCACTAAACCCAACCCGGAAGTCCTGAATATTAGTAGTTATAAAACCGTGCAAGATAGTCCTCAAACCAAAATGTTAGTCGATGCCTAAATGCAGTAAGAATCCTAGTGGAAATTAAAGTATATTGAAAAAAATCTTGGATAAATTCAAAAATTATTTTGAAACTTAATAAATTTTCGATAGTTCTTTTAGCGATAAATTTATCACGCAAACCACATTACTTCCATTACGCCCTATAAAATCCCCCTACACTCAATTTTCTCGCACAACCCAGGTGCTAAACCCTCCTAAATTTTAATTCACAAAATTACCTCAGCGCATCACCAAACACTTACCAACTCCACCACGATAATCTCGTCTTAATATCAAATTTCGTGCGCCGTAAATCTTTCAAGACACTTCTTTAATTAAATTTGCTTACTCTTTAATATTGTTGCAGGATTTCCAGGATTGTGCTCTTGTTGTCCGATTAAACCACTAACATCGGCATCTTTATTACCGACATCCGATGATAACTCATCATCTGATCAGCGATCGTCCAGCGTGGCAGAACTTCGCAGGAAAGCCCAAGAACATTCAGCCGCTTTGTTACAAAGTCTTCAACACGTCGCCAATTTCCAACACGCCACTTTGGGGGGATTAAATTTTCCACTTTTACCCCCGTTGACTTTACAAGCTTTAAGAAAACACGACGCCAACGAAACAATCACGAGCAACAAAGATCAACAAGATCGCGTTTAAGAAACACGTCGCGCCATCTATCGATGAGTAACCGTAACGTGAAAAGTAGGAATCTTTATATAAATGATGATAACCGTCCTAAAATGATTTTTGGGGGGACAAAAATTGTACCAAATAATAATGTGTATTGCAGCAATATTAAAAAAAAATAAACAAAATAATTTGTGTAAATAATTCCGCTATTTTCGTGCTTATACGATATAAATGTAGATTTCGGCTAAAAAATTAAATATTAATTATTAATAATGTAATAAATTGTGATGTGTCTAATGCAAATATGTAAAGTTACCAAATATGAATAATAAAAAAACTTAGTTTATGTGTGTACATATAAATTATTCAATAAAAAAAAATAGAAAGTCGAAAATTAATTAATTAAAAAAAAAATGTCGAAAATATATAATAAACTGTAATAATAAGGTGTATTTCAAACTAAATAGTGTGTTCCCGATAAAAAAAAAAACATTTTAAGAGTAAATAAAACGTCTATAATAGAAAATTTCTTTTCTTTTTACAACCCCTATCACAAAACAAAAAAGCCTAATAAATAAAACAACCTATACGGTTCAGTTAAAACAGAAACGATAAATAAAGGGGGTTAAAGTTCCGCCTTCATCGTGCGGAAATATCTCTTGAAACCAACCCCCTGACTGGTTAAAATTGACTGGTTAAACGGTGTGGGCGTCCCTTTGCTGATCGATGACAAGCAAACGGGTCGGTTTTATTGGCGCGCACCGTCGGGAGGCGTGCTTGTGTGTAACAACCCCCGAACAACCCCTCCGGATTCGAAATGGTTTTGAAAAGCCGGGGTTCCAACGTAAACTTGATTTATGGTTATTATTAATATCAATGTGAAAAGGGGGTTGGATTCGTTGGTGTGGGTTGAGATGGGTTTGATGTTGGTAAATTTTGTAAAGGGGATGATTTTTTTATATTAAAATGTAATGAGTACNATTATTAATATCAATGTGAAAAGGGGGTTGGATTCGTTGGTGTGGGTTGAGATGGGTTTGATGTTGGTAAATTTTGTAAAGGGGATGATTTTTTTATATTAAAATGTAATGAGTACGAAATTGAATTGGTTAATTTTTCTGTAATATAGAGGGAGTCCCGAAACTCAACGTCAAGGGGGCACCGGGTGAGAGGCCAACCTGTTCTGGTAAAAATAAGAAAAAAATTCTATGTCTCTTAGTTAAGTGGTAATAGACATATTTTTGAAAATGTTAAAAATCGTTCCTTACATCATATCTTTAGGTACTACGGTCAGAAATGTACGCAATTTAATAGTGATTTTTTTAATAATGTATTCCTAATGAACTATGCTACTATAGCAGTCACAAATCGAACAAGAAAAGTCATTAGTTTTGCAAAAAAAAGTATTTGATTGAGATAACATACAAAAGTATGAATTTTTTAAATAACGTGTTTTTTGCAGAAAAACAGGCAACAATATTTTTTAGGAAGAGAAAAATGGCAAGTGTTGTACCATTTTGGAAACTTGACTAAACAGGCCATCTTTTAGAATTACACCCTGTATATACAGGTTATAAATCCGATCATGTTATTTTCCAGAAATAAAGAGAAAATGTTCAAAATGTCAAAATTAATAGTTTGCGTTATGAAAATTGGATGAGGAAAATGTTATGCATAAAAAATTGTTTATAATGGACCAAAAAATATAATTCATAACCGATTTCAGCTTAGCTATCACTATTTTCGGGGAATAAAGCTAAAATGATCAAAAAATGTCTAAAATTATGAATTATTTTAAGATATTTACCACTATTCAAAAACTAAGACTGATTGAGAAAAATGTTGAGCACGAAAATTGTTTATAACGAACCTAAGAAGGATAATGTATGACCAGTTCGAGCTTAGGTGTCATCATTTTCCAAGAATAAAGTGAATATCTTCAAAATGTCAGAATGAATGGTTGCAAAAATTCATCATTACTCAAGAAGTAAGATAGGCTGAGGAAAATAAAAATTGTTTATAATGGGCCAAAAAATATAATTCATAACCGATTTCAGCTTAGCTATCACTATTTTCTGAGAATAAAGCTAAAAAAACCAAAAAATTACTAAAATGAAGAATTATATTAAGAAATTTATCACTATTTAAAAATTAACACTGATTGAGACAAATGTTGAGTACGAAAATTGTTTAACATGAACGTAAGAAAATAATGTATGGCTAATGTGTGACCACTTTGAGATTAGGTGACATCATTTTCGAACAATGAAGTGCATATGTTCAAAATGTCAAAATGAATTTTAGCTGACGAGAAAATTTTAAAAAAATTTTACAATTCGACTAAAGCACTCATCAAAGGCTATCAACCTAACATAGCAATATGCAAGAATACTTCAGGATATCGTAAAGATCAAAAGAAGATATCTGCTGAACTATTGAAAGCATCAGGAGAGAACATATGGATCCGCATATATTAATACAGAAAATATGCAGATGAGAACACATTCCAGAAAAGATGGTAACATTCAGCCCATCTATAAGAAGGAAGACAAACTAAATCCTAAGAATTACAGAGGCAACGGCATCACACTGCTAAACACCACATATAACGTGTTATTTATCTTCTGATGTCTTGAACCTTATTGTGACAGAACCCTGGAAGAATATCAAAGTGGATTTAGTCCAGGTGTCTCAACACAAATCTTCGAATATAACATGGACTTCTAGAGCATCTAACAAAATAAGGAATACCATACATTCCGACAAACTTGATTAATACCACATCAGATCGAAGGCAATAGTTAAAATTCAGGAAGAGCCAACAGAACTGTTTGAAATAAACTGTTGAGTTAGATAAGGTGATTTAATATCACTGAAGACATCAACTTAGCGCCCATAAGTGTTAAATCTTAGCAGACAATCGAAACTCCATGTCAACAGGAGATGAAAACAAATTAACAGTCTTTGAAACAAAAATTTTGCGCAAGATGTATGGATCGATACGAGATGGTGCTGGAATGTGGTAATAAGAATGGATTGAACTACCTTATAAATGGTGCAAACATTGTACAACACATAAAAAAGCATGAAAAAGCAAAGAGAATACCATGATCGAGTAGCTCACACAAAAATTTCATGTTATGGCATCGTGAACAGAATAACATCCTCCTTCTTTTAAATCAAATACTAATATACTAATAAAATACTACGAAAATACTAATATAGTCTGTTAAACTAGTCACTTACTACTATGATGTACTACTACACCATAAATGACACAATAAAAAAGTTATTTATTGCTTGCAGAAGACTAAATAATCTAAATATTGATTGCAAAAAACTTGATATTGCTGGCAGAAAACTAAGTATTGCTAGAACAGAACTCGATACTGTTTGCAGAAAGCCAGACACTGCCGGCAGAAGAATACATAATGGAAAAACAATATGCCAAATAATTGAATGAAAGACATTTTTAATTTTTAAAGGCTTAAATTAAAAAAAAATATAATAATTTTTGTAGTAATCTCCCCCTTTATAGTTGACCTGAAACAGCACACGATCATTAATTCCGAAACTCAGCCGACTCTCAGAATTAATCAACCGAAAACGCAACAACCCTTCGCAATTCGAGTGATTCGAAATGGCATAGGCGGGCGGGCGAGCGGGNTAATTCATAACCGATTTCAGTTTAGCTATCATTATTTTCTGAGAATAAAGCTGAAATGATCAAAAAATGACTAAAATGAAGAATTATGTTAAGAAATTGATCACTACTCAAAAAGCAACACTGATTGAGAAAAATAATGTATGACCAGTTCGATTTTAGGTGTTATCATTTTCCAACAATGAAGTGAATATGTTCAAAATGTCAAAATAAATTTTAGATGGCGAAAAAATTTTAAGAAAATTTTAGAAGGCAACTAAAGATCTCATCAAAAGCTATCAACCAAACATAGCAATATGCAAGGATGACAACGAAGGAGGTGAGGAAGAGAAGGACTTCAAGATACCCTTAACATCAGAAGAAGATAGTCTGCTGAACTATTGAAAGCATCAGGTGATACAGAAAATATGCAGAAGAGAAGACATTTCAGAAAAGAAGGTAAAACCTAAGAACTACAGAGGTTACGACATCACACTACTAAACACCACATATAACGTGTTATAAGGCATGATGTACAAATGTCTTGAACCTTATTATGACAGAACCTTGGAAGAATATCAAAGTGGATTTAGGCCATCTAGCAAATAGATTCTGGCAAATTTAATTAATATCACATGAGATCGCAGGCAATAGTTAAAATGCAGGGAGAGCCAACAGAACTGTTTGAAATAAACTGTTGAGTCAAATAAGGTGAATCGTTCCTCAAGGGACAAAGAAGCAAAGAGAAGAATCATCTCACACAAGAATTTTATGTTATTGATTCTTTTAGATCAAATACTAGAATCTAGAAAATACTAATATGGTCTTTTTGACTAGTCACTTACAGAGGACAACACACTGGTAGGAGCAGATGTACTACTTGCACAGGTTTAGACACAACAAAAGGGTACTTATTGCTTGCAGAAGACAAAATATCGCAAAAAACTAGGTACTGCTGGAACAGGACTAGATACTGTTTCCAGAAATCCAAACACTGCCGATAGAAGAATACGTAATGCTGACACAGTATTAGATACTGTCAACAGAAGACTAAAATTTTCAATTTTTAAAGGCTTAATTAAAAAAAATATAATATTAATAAAAATTTTTGTAGTAATCTCCCCCTTTATAGTTGACCTGAAACAGCACACGATCATTAATTCCGAAACTCAGCCGACTCTCAGAATTAATCAACCGAAAACGCAACAACCCTTCGCAATTCGAGTGATTCGAAATGGCATAGGCGGGCGGGCGAGCGGGTGTCGGCATAGTTGGCGTTTCCGCCAGAAGGGGTCGTCCCGTCAAGTAATGCGGCCAATAAATTATATCACTGCGGCAATTAGCGCGGCACCGGCAGCGACAGCCGCTCTAATTTCCCGTGAATTATGGGCGCAATTGCGAAATTAGATCGCTGGGCCCGGCGTCGCGGCGCGCGTTCACCTGGTGCCAAAACCCCCCGTCCGATGGCACCCAACGCCGATCTAAACGCGAAACCGAGCCGCTTAATGGGATTGCCCGTTGTTCGCCCGTTATTATTTATAGTCATTAGTACGGGGGGGAGGGGGGCGTCGCGACGCGCCGATTAATATCCGGACGTCCCGAAACATTGGTTTTGCGATAGTGTGAAATGTCGACAAGGTAAACTAATTTGTATTTTGCGTTTCGATATTCTAAAATGAACCGATCAATATTTCTATAAAGTCATGCATCTTAATTAACTAATGTAATAAAAATATGTATATCATCAGGTTACTTAACAACTTTCAAGATAAGATGGAAGTTGTGCCAGAACAGGAGTTAATAAAAAGATTTTTTCAATAGTACTGAAAGACCATACGCAAGAGAAGTAGTGGGAAAATTCTTTCAGCATAATTAAACAAGACTGTACTAAATGGCTAATATCAAGGCAATGGAGATAAAGAGCAGAGACTTACAAAGAAAGAATATGTATAAGAGTATGTGGCAGATTCCAGAAAGTTACCAATAGAAAAGGAGATACTGCTTGCAGAAGATTAGGTTTTGGAAAAAAATAGTTATTACTGACAAAAGACTAGATACTGCTAATGTATATATATAGATGATTATTTACTGCTTACAGAAGTTTAGATATTGTTTGCAAAAGATAACCTACTACTAGTTTTTGTTGGCAGAAGACTAGACACTCTACCTACATCCGGAATTCTTATAAGTACGTTTTCTTCTACAGTAGCTACTGGATAGTTTCCTTTTGAGAAGCATAACATTTTGTCAGCTTACTTTTCTAGTGCGTAATTTGCAGAGTTTTGAGCTTCCTCACCACCGATTTCTCCTGTTGTGATTAAATTAATACCCGAAACTCCAACAGTTGTTAATTGCACATTTTCAGTAGGATTATGTATTACTGCATTCGTTCTCTGCTTCATTATTTTCCTCCTCTATAGTTATTTCTGAAATAGCATCTGTTGGCAAATGTAGGACGAGATAAGTTGCTGGCAAAAATTGCAAGATCATAAGAGTTGAATGAAATTCCATCTAAAATCCTTAAAGTTATATTCAAAATGTTTGCACAATAAATTATCATGTAATAAAACGGAAGTAAATACAAAGTCCCATAAATCGTAAATATCTTAAAACAAAGTGTACTTACCTTAATTAATCCATAAATTGTAATCGCAAAATATGCACAACAGGAATTGCAAGGAGATATTTCGTGTTGGGGTGGAAAGAGAAATAAATTTGAAATTCCTGCGAACAAACTGCTTGGCAATACCTACAATTGCACTTAAACTTTACTGAATATCAAAACAACTAAGGGATAGGGTGGGTCTTAACTTTCACATTTCGCGAGTAAACCACCTGAAACCTAAACACTAACTTGGAAGAAGCCGACGTATTTCCAGAACGAACACCATCTGGTCAAAACCAACCCCTTTTGGTAATATATACTCTTTAAGTACTCCTTAAGTAAAAGCAAGTTTAATATAAATCTGAATTTAAATAATCGTTTGTATCAGAAAAAGTGTTTTATTTTAACCGGTTTCCTCACAGCGTTGGTGTGGCCCTCCTTAAATTGGAACCAAACATCGTTGCGAGTAGTCGCGGCGTCGCCTGCAAATTAACGAAACCCCCATTGAGATTGGATCGAGCGACACCCGGAGCAATTTTCTTTGGCAAACAATGAGCTAATGGGGTCGGTTCGGAATGACGGGGGCTCACCAAAGGCAATTACGGATCTCGTTACAGTTGAATTATGCCGGCAAACGAGCGTAATGCAACCAATCTCATTGTTAACCTACGCAACGAATCCCCCCTTCCCGCATCCGACCGGAATTCCATTATTGGACGGAGATTTCAAATTAGCAATTGTGTACCCAACGAAAATTAATTGTTGCGGAGAAAAAAATTATTTACTTACCTTGAGGTACATCTTTTATGATGATTCGGCCAAAAAAATCTTTCGTTACCATCTGAAATCAAATAAAACATAATTAAAAATAAAATAAATAAAAAAAAATAGAATAAAATCTAAGACAATTTAGAGGTTAGTACAGAAAAGGGGGAAAAAGGATAAGGAAAAGGAGGAGGCTAAAGAACGATAAATAGCGGTTCCCTTTAGAAGAGTAATCACTGTTCCAGACGTTTCCTCTCGGCCAAAAGTTTCCGTGTTCCGGCCCCAAATGCCTTTTGCGCATTTAAGGGCCGCTTTCCCACAATCCTTCCGGCGCGAAACGCGATAAAGCCTGGTAACGCGGCCCTCTAAGTCTGTTCTCTCGGTTATTTCATTTCCGGATCGCGCCGAGACCCAACTTTAACGGCTCGTTGGAAAAAAACCCATTAAGACCGGAAACGATTTACCTCCCCCCCTCCCACCAAACTTAACACATCAACAAAAATTTATTCTTAAAACCAACGACGGTAGAATCTAAAAGGACTACTATATAGTATATACCAATATTACTAGACTTCAATGAACTGCAATATGGTGTTATTCCATTAAAGAAAACTTAACTTTGTTTCGTCATAACTTTTTGACTGGCCCTGTATATGTAATTTGTGTTTATTGGAATAGATTTAGATACTGCTTAGAACCAGTTTCAGGTTCTTCGAAAATATAGTTTCAAATTAAGTCTTAAATTGAGGTTGCTATCTAGTTTTAATATGTTATCGACAAAATTTCCATGATATCCATAGAAACTTGCTCAACACTGTTATAAACTTATAAAGCATAATTAATGTATCTCAAAACGCCGAGGTCGCTTGCGGGCGAGGCGCTGGAGTCTCCATGATATCGGTAGGAACTTGTTCAACACTGTTACAAAGGTTATAAACATATTCCATATTAATATACTCCATGATATTGACAGAAATATGGAAAACGGTCAACATACATTGTTAAGCAAAGATGTTAAAGCAACGATTATTTTAGAAAAGAATTTCAAGTCGATAAATACTACTTACTTACTGAGTTGCAACTAAAAAGGATCGATTCGCGAAGAATAAACATAATAAAACACTTATAATAATTAGAAAATTAATAATAAATTAATTAAAACTTGAGAAGAAACCGTTTGTGTCAAAAACTCGAAATGATAGGAAGGGCTACCAACCTCAATTTTATCAAATTTAAAAATAACTAATTTTTGGAGAAATATTATTAATGAAATTGTTTATTTAAAATTTAAATTGTTATTAAATTAAGAAATTGAAGTAATAATTATATTAATGAAACCAAAAATCTTAATAATTGCTTTTGATCTCAATCCAAGATTAATCAAAGTAAAGATTATTTTAGAAAAGAATTTCAAGTCGATAAAAACCATTTACTTACTCAAAGCAACTAAAAAGGATCGATTCGTGAAGAATTAACATAATAAAACACTTAATAGTTAGAAAATTAATAATAAATTAAGTAAAACTTGAGAGGAAATCGTTTGTGTCAAAAACTCGAAATGAAAGGAAGGGCTACCAACCTCAATTTTATCAACATAATAATTTCTAATAATTTCCAATCCAAGATTAACCGAAGCAAAGATTATTTTAGAAAAGAGTTTCAAGTCGATAAAAACTATTTACTTACTGAGTTGCAACTAAAAAGGATCGATTCACGAAGAACAAACATAATAAAACACTTAATAGTTAGAAAATTAATAATAAAATCTGAGAAGAAACCGTTTCTGTCAAAAACTCGAAATGATAGGAAGGGCTACCAACCTCAATTTTATCAAATTTAAAAATAACTAATTTTTAGATTGTTTATTTCAAATTTAAATTGTTATGAAACTAAAAAATTTAAATAATAACCATTATGACAACCAGTTTCAAGTTCTTCGAAAATATAGTTTCGAATTAAGTATTAAATTGAAGTTGCTATCTTGTTTTGACGTGTTATCGACAAAAACCTGGTCAACACTGTTATAAAGCAAAATATATCTCAAAACGCCGAGGTCGCTTGCAGGCGAGGCACTGGAGGTTTAATGATATTGACAGAAATCTGGTCAACACTGTTATAAAACAAAATATACTCTCAAAACGATCCTCGAGGGCCAAGCTTTCCACTGATGCCTTCAAATTTTGTTCTAAAATACTTTTATATTTATAACGATCCATAATTCCATCAAGGAATGCTAGTTTTTTGATACCCGATGCTGCTAGCGATCCCCAAACCATGACACTACCTCCGCCATGCTTTACAGTTAGTACAAAATTTTTCAACTCCATCGCCGTGTTTCGTTTCTTTCAAATTTTTGCCCAACCATCACTTCCAAAAAGGTTGTACTGCGACTCCTCAGTAAACAAAACGGTGGACCAGAGATCTATTTCTTGGTCGACATGAGATTGAGCAAATTCTAGTCGAAGACGGCGTAAAATATGCGGTTTTCTGCTGCAAAATCCATAATCACGTAAAACCTTTGTACGGTTCTTAGATGTACAGTTTTATTAGATACAGTCGCGATGTGGTCAGCTAATTTTGATGCGCTAACTCTCACTTCTTTTAATATGGAGCTAATATCTCTTCTAGAAATTGCAAATCTAAACAATTGCAAAAAATTTAAATCTTTAGAATCGTCTCAGCGATTTTTCATAAACTGTTTAATTACTGCCTCGGCAGCATGGTTGTCTCGGCGTCTAAGAACCACAGCCTCAGCAGCATAGATGTGCACCTATTTCCAATATGAAGTAGCCCTAAAATGTATTCGTCTTAAAATTTCTTATTGATTCATCTTAAAAATCCATTCCCGGTATGAATCGTTTTCGATATAGTCACGATAGTCGTCAAATTTGAATATCAATAGGCTATGATATTCTTTTTGACGCCATAAAGGGCCGGTAACCGTCATAAATAATACATCTAAACGGGCGCGCGAGGACCCGTTATAATAAAAACGGAAAACGGTATCGGATTTCGAGTGGGACAAAGTGTCAAAGCGTTTACGAACCCTCTTAGACGATGGCGACGCAGCGGGCGAACCCCTTCGATTAAATGGCCCGAAAACGCTTAAAACGAGACCCGTTACTCACTTCCACGCCTATTATTTTTCACGGAACACGTTTAAAACGGTACCATTCGGGGTTAATTGGCTGGCAAAACGATTTTTCCATCCAAAGCAAAAATGTTACGAACGTTATTTATCGGTTAATATTTTTATATAGTGTACATTTTTTGCTTTGATAACTAAGCTGTAACATTCTATTACAGTTATAAGTAGAAAGTAACGGAAAGTAATGAGTTATTGGGTATATAATGGTTTCGCGGATTCAACGGGGTCGAAATTTCTCCAGAGGGTTAAATGGATTTTATATCCGGATAAAGTCATTTGGAGCGATATTACACCCGTAATCGAAGGCGAAAGGTTTGGATTGCCGGGGATCCGGGAAAATAGGAAAACTCCCCGTTTTCTTCGGTATTTCTTGGCGTGATTCCCCGCTACGTGGATTATCTTCGAGCCGACGATATCCGTCAACGTTACCATCTGGTTTTTATCCGAGCTATTTCCTGGTAATGATACCAAAGGCGAAAAAAAATCTCGTTTTTCCCCTTGAATTCGAGTAATACCATAAAAGTGAGTCCCATTATACCGCTTAATGATCAGCGATTTCCTCAAAAACTCCATTACTACTTTGTAATTGATTAACCTCTCCTTTTCTAGTTCATTGTAGTAACCTCTCGTCGCTTGATGGTCCGTGACCGCTTCCAGACGTTTCCATTGCGCCCTAAATGGAGTGGGTGGAGATGGACAAACGACGCAAGATCCATTCCGGAGCTTTTATTTAGGTCGTTAGCCCGAAACCTCTCCGATTGGCGAACGAAAGTACTTTATTCAGGAAATCCCGATTAAACTATGTTCTTAATCTTACCAAAAAATCGACCAACATCGTCATAAGCATTTATGATTCTTGGGAAATAAATAAATATAGATGAAGATTGATTTGAAATGTTTTTGGATACTTTCAGAATCAATGAGGGGAGGAGATAGGAAGCGGGTGTTTATCTTGTTTTATACGGTGACATCCCATTAATTCGCTAAAAGATACTCGATAGTTTTCGTTGAGGGGATGGCGTCGACCGGAAATGGTAATGTTACTAAAGAAAAGAAAAATGGTCATCGTATCCGTTTTGATTTGAAATGAACTAAGTAGAAGAGAAACATTGGGTCAAAACAGGATAATAATACTATTTCTTTTTACATTTATTTACAACTATTAAAACTTGTCTAATTACACCAACCACCAATATACATCTGAACTCTTACAACTTACAGCAAACTCATTCAATAGCAGTATCTAGTAGTTTTCTGACAACAATGCCTACTCTTCTATAAGAAGAATCTAGACTTCAATTAGTAATATTTAGAGCAGTATCTACTCATCTATTAGAATATAATCTATAAATTTTTTATACAGTATCTAGTCTTTTGCCAGCGTAATCTAATCGTCAAAATATAAAAGGCTACCTTTTACAAGGAGTGACTAGTTTTCTGCAGTGTCCATCAGGAGACGGAAGACTCAGATAAGATCATTGGAAGTGACAAATCTCAACTACATTTGCGTTAATTACATTTGCTTTTCCAATCTAGACTCTAACCCAGTAGTTCCAGATATTTCCTTAAAATCTAGACTATTGTCGGTGTAATTACAGACCTCTCCTTAAAATTTAGAGTTTTATTAATGTTATTCCAAACTACTATTTTGCAATTTAGCCAACGTAATTCTTTAATCATTCCAGACAATCCAGTACAAAATATTCTTACAGTTTTAAAGTTGCTCAGCGCAATTCCTGTCATTTTCTTCAAGCCTGGAATCTAGCTAATTTAATCTTAGACTTCTATTTGTAGTTTGGAAATCGGCTTACATAACGAGTTCCTATATGACTTTAGCTTTATGAAATCGTATTGTGTAGTCCAAACATTCCCATAAACGAGAGTCTGACGTTTTGATTCAACATATGCACGAAAAGATTCGCTCTAACATATCTTGTCTAGTAGTCTCCGAATTGATTTCAGAGCAATTCTTTTTCTGAATTTTTTTGTCCAATGTTCTTCTCCTTTTAACGTTGCTTAGGATCTTCTTGTACTCTGCCAAATATTTTCAAAATCTATGTTCACTTACACTTTTTCATACTAAATATACATATTTAAAAGCAGAACGTTGAAGTAGATAGGTGTAAAAAGAAGAAAGGTTACGAAATACTACAAAAAACATAGCTTCCTTTAAAATAAAAGTTTATTTTCGTCGAATTTCGTTGTTTTGAAAGTACTTCATGGTAACAGTTGGATATCGGAGGATACTATAAAAAAACGCTTAGAACAAAAATTGTAGCAAATTTCATTCTTAATAATATTGCTCTAATGTACTTTTGCTCTCAGATGCAGAGATATTGAGAAAAATACGAAATTATGAAAATTTTATGAATTTCGTCGTTTTGAAAGTACTGCATGGTAACACTTGGATATCGGAGCATGCTACAAAAAAACTTTTAGAACAAAAGTTGTAGCTAATTTCATTCTTAATAATATTGCTCTCTTATACTTTTGCTCTCAGATGCATAGATATCGAGAAAAAGATGAAATTAGGAAAATTTTATGAATTTCGTCGTTTTGAATGTACTTCATGGTAACACTTGGATATCGGAGCATGCTACAAAAAAACTTTTAGAACAAAAGTTGTAGCTAATTTCATTCTTAATAATATTGCTCTAATGTACTTTTGCTCTCAGATGCACAGATATTGAGAAAAATACGAAATTATGAAAATTTTATGAATTTCGTCGTTTTGAAAGTACTGCATGGTAACACTTGGATATCGGAGCATGCTATAAAAAAACTTTTAGAACAAAAGTTGTAGCAAATTTCATTCTTAATAATATTGCTCTCTTATCCTTTTGCTCTTAGAGGCATACATATTGAGAAAAATATGAAAATTTTATGAATTTCGTCGTTTTGAAAGTACTGCATGGTAACACTTGGATATCGGAGCATGCTATAAAAAAACTTTTAGAACAAAAGTTGTAGCAAATTTCATTCTTAATAATATTGCTCTCTTATCCTTTTGCTCTTAGAGGCATACATATTGAGAAAAATATGAAAATTTTATGAATTTCGTCGTTTTGAAAGTACTGCATGGTAACACTTGGATATCGGAGCATGCTATAAAAAAACTTTTAGAACAAAAGTTGTAGCAAATTTCATTCTTAATAATATTGCTCTCTTATCCTTTTGCTCTTAGAGGCATACATATTGAGAAAAATATGAAAATTTTATGAATTTCGTCGTTTTGAAAGTACTGCATGGTAACACTTGGATATCGGAGCATGCTATAAAAAAACTTTTAGAACAAAAGTTGTAGCAAATTTCATTCTTAATAATATTGCTCTCTTATCCTTTTGCTCTTAGAGGCATACATATTGAGAAAAATATGAAAATTTTATGAATTTCGTCGTTTTGAAAGTACTGCATGGTAACACTTGGATATCGGAGCATGCTATAAAAAAACTTTTAGAACAAAAGTTGTAGCAAATTTCATTCTTAATAATATTGCTCTCTTATCCTTTTGCTCTTAGAGGCATACATATTGAGAAAAATATGAAAATTTTATGAATTTCGTCGTTTTGAAAGTACTGCATGGTAACACTTGGATATCGGAGCATGCTATAAAAAAACTTTTAGAACAAAAGTTGTAACAAATTTTATACTTAGCAATATTGCTCTCTTATACTTTTGCTCTCAGATGCATAGATATTGAAAAAAATACGAAAATATGAGAATTTTATGAATTTCGTCGTTTTGAAAGTACTGCATGGTAACACTTGGATATCGGAGCATGCTATAAAAAAACTTTTAGAACAAAAGTTGTAACACTTTCTTCTGGCAGCAGTATCTAATCTTCTATTAGCAGTATTTAGTCTTCTATTATCAGTATCTTGTCCAGTATCTATTCTAGCAGTACCTGATCTTCTGTAAGCATTATTTACTCCTCCAATAACAGTATTTAGTTCAGTGCCAGCAGGACCTATCTTTCTACCAGCAGTAACTGGTCTTCTGCAAGCAGTATCTAGTCATCTATTAGTAGTATTTAGTCTTCCATCATCAGTATCTAGTCCAATGCCAACAACACCTACTTTTCTGCAAGCTGTATTTACTATTCGGCAAGCAGTAAGTAATCTTGTGCAAGCAGTACCTAGTCCAGTGTCAACAGTACCTAGTCTTCTACTAATAGTAACGGGTCTTCATCATCAATCATCGGATTTTATGAATCATTCTCCAACCTAACAGAAAGTGAATTGTTTGGAGGTTGAACTAATGTTAAGGTTAAGGAGATTTTGTTTGGTATCAAGGTGTCCAGCAGGATTGAAACTGACATTCGCGGCCTTTCTTTCGCAGTGGAAGCGTATTTGTCAAGCACAATTGTAGACAACATGATCCTTTGGAATATAAATATTTTTTACACTAACTTTATATGAAAATCAAGAAAATATCTTCGAATTTTCCATATAAATAGAAAATTGATGTAATAAATCATGAAAAATTTATTCACCGAAATAAGGACGCATTAAGAGAAAATGATACTGTGTATCATTGAAATACATAGTTATTTGCCGAGCAACACGCCCCCTCAATATAAACTGTTAGAGGCGGAGTTCCGGGGCTTAATATAAACACAAATAACCGGGTATAAATCTCCCGAATGGGGCCAATAATTTAAGGGAGGGCGCGACGTATGATAAATGAACGTCAGATGACCGCGAGCTATTTCAATATGAATAGATATACTCTGAAGGAAAATAATGTTGAAAGAATCATAATAACCGAGACTTGGTTTTAATTGTTTCTAATGATTAATGTTACTTACCCTTAAAAGACTTCCATCAATAACTTTTTGATGGAAATTAAAACAAGTAAAAAAAAATAAATTATTCTTACCGGTCCTTTTGGTTTCACATTTTTAACTTGCAACTTCTGCAAATGATTGGGAACCTCGCTTTTTTTCTTTTCCTTTTTATCTTCTTTAAATTTAGCCCCTTCGATCCTCCTCATTTTTTCAACATCGATTTCCTGTCCAATCATCTGTTTATTGGAATAAGATAAAATTCTCGAACGCATGCTCAAACTAAACACGGTGACCTCTTCTATATTCGGATCAACGTTGTAAACGTAATTTCCTTCGAACGTTCTTTCTTGGACGTAATTTAAATTGTAATCGATCATGATGTTAACGACGTTTTTTAAAACTTCCTTTTCTTGTTCAGTACAAAAATGTAAATTAACCGGTCTTAACGGCGGAACGATTATTTGACTTAAATAAGGTAAAATTTCCAAATTTAAAACGTTAGATTGAACGAATATCTTCACGGACGGTTTCATTCCTTTTAAAACTTCCTTAATCAACCCTTCCCGTTTTTGCGCCTTCGTTCGCATCTGAAACAACAATTAAGAAATATGGAAGAAATTTTTAAAGAGGTTCGAAAAGACGATTACTTATTAAAGAGAACGAAATTGGAAATCTACGAGAAAGAAAGCCCTCAAATGACATTTTTCCCTCCACCGCAGTTAATGACGTCTGAATTATAAACGAACCCTTTTCTCTTTTTTTTACAAACCCTTTGAAATAGTAAGGACCCACCGCCGACATCCAATCTCCCCCAAGTGAAGCGGATCAGGGCGACAAACCTTCCTGATCTGATACTTTTAAGCCGTAATTAGCATCTATGTTTACAAGAAAACTCAATGTTATACGGGGGGTAAGAAAAAAATTTTTTTTTAATAAATCAACAATTTACTCTTCTATAAGAAGTATTTAATATCGGGTTTTCTGCCTACAGAATCTAGTACAATCTTCTGCAAACAGTATCTAGTCTTCTGCAAGCAGTATTTAGTCTTTTGAGACCAGTATCTAGTCTTCTAGAAGCAATATCTAGTATTCTGCAAGCAGTATCAAGTCTTCTGCTAATAGTATCTACTCTTCTGCAACCAGCAAGTAAACCTTTCCAAAAGAGTCTGAATTATTTCTAGATGGAAGTTGGCCAAAGTGAAGAAGAACCATTATGAAGAAGACCATAATGAGGACTACAGAAATAACAACCTAAACACCAGGAACCAAGCATACAGTTGGAAGACGTTTGGACTTTCTTTATGCTTTTGCTGGAAAGAATGCTGGAAGATATCCATATCACAAGAAGGAATGAGACAAAATAGGAAGGACTAAATCCCATTGCAAGAAGAAAACAGAATTATTGGTTTTTTAGATAGTTGTTATTTTACAAAAAACCTTATCTTATGAACAGTGTTTTGAGTAACGATAGACATCAACTAGATAACGCATCAAGTGCCCAACGATCTCATTCAATTTTTGCTGTATATGTAAGAAAATAATGGATGAGGGAATCATCAAGTAGCAAAGTCAAATATGCCAAAAAGTCTCAAAAAAGGAAACCTCAAGATACCAAAGAACACAGGAAGTTGCAATCTTTCCCTTGGACTTTGATTATCAGAAAAGAGCAAAATCTAGAAGATAGTGTCTATAGTCTAGAGATCTCTGAGTTCAGGGCTATTGATGGTTACATTGAGGAATCAGAGTCTGCTTCAAAAAAACTTTTAAAACAAAAGTTGTAGCAAATTTTATGCTTAGCAATATTGCTCTAATATACTTTTGCTCTCCGATGCCTAGATATTGAGAAAAATACGAAATTATGAAAATTCTATGAATTTCGTCGTTTTGAAAGTACTGCATGGTAACACTTGGATATTGGAGCATGCTATAAAAAAACTTTTCGAACAAAAGTTATAACAAATTTCATTCTTAACAATATTGCTCTCTTATAGTTTTGCACTCAGAGGCATAGATATTGAGAAAAATACGAAAATATGAAAATTTTATGAATTTTGTCGTTTTGAAAGTACTGCATGGTAACACTTGAATATTGGAGCATGCTATAAAAAAACTTTTAGAACAAAAGTTGTAGCAAATTTCATTCTTAACAATATTGCTCTCTTATAGTTTTGCACTCAGAGGCATAGATATTGAGAAAAATACGAAAATATGAAAATTTTATGAATTTTTTCGTTTTGAAAGTACTGCATGGTAACACTTGAATATTGGAGCATGCTATAAAAAAACTTTTAGAACAAAAGTTGTAGCAAATTTCATTCTTAACAATATTGCTCTCTTATAGTTTTGCACTCAGAGGCATAGATATTGAGAAAAATACGAAAATATGAAAATTTTATGAATTTTTTCGTTTTGAAAGTACTGCATGGTAACACTTGAATATTGGAGCATGCTATAAAAAAACTTTTAGAACAAAAGTTGTAGCAAATTTCATTCTTAACAATATTGCTCTCTTATAGTTTTGCACTCAGAGGCATAGATATTGAGAAAAATACGAAAATATGAAAATTTTATGAATTTTTTCGTTTTGAAAGTACTGCATGGTAACACTTGAATATTGGAGCATGCTATAAAAAAACTTTTAGAACAAAAGTTGTAGCAAATTTCATTCTTAACAATATTGCTCTCTTATAGTTTTGCACTCAGAGGCATAGATATTGAGAAAAATACGAAAATATGAAAATTTTATGATTTTTTTTTTTTTTTTATGATATCCAAATATGGTTGGTAACATTACACAAAATAATGAGATTTCAGACATTGGAAGTGACACATGAAAATGTCTGATGGCAACGATTATGCAGGAGAATGATCAAAACAAGTATTTTTGAATTCCTAAGAGTGGATTGAGAGATATTCTTGAATTTACTTTGCTGAGAGCAAGTTGGAACATAGGGACCAGAATGGAATTCTGTTAAAAATTGTAATCTCGTGGTATGAATATAACAATAACAATCAAATCAAGTTGAGGCATTGTTGGTTTGCATATTATGTTGATTGTTGTTCTTGGCTGTCCGCTGCTTCTTTTTGCAGTCCCCATTCGGCTATGAACTATTCTTCACTGTTAGGGAAGCCAACTTCGTCTCCAAATAATTTAGATTTTTGGATTGGACAAGGATTCACAAAAACCACAAAAAATTACTTACTGATTGCAGTAGACTAGATACTGCTTGTAAAAGACCAGTTACTACTTGCAGAAGACTAAATACTGCTTGAAGAAGACTAAATACTCCTTGAAAAAGACTAAATACTGCTTGCAGAAGACTAAATACTGCTAATGAATCACTATTAACTCTGTTCACACAAAATTTCATGAATTTATCTTTATTGTGCAATATTAAAAAGATTAATTTTTCATTAGAAAATAACACCATTGATTTAAATAATTTTTTAACTCAATATAAAAAATGTATAATCCACACCCTGTATACATCTAGTAACTAAGGTAAAAAGTGTAGTAAAAGCACCCCCAAATGAATTGAATCGCACTGTACAGAGTCTCGTTTAGCGCAAAACCCATTTTCCTAGTGTTTATTCGGCGAGAAGCCGTCCAAAGCACAAAGAGGTAATGACGCGGGGGGCCACTCAACACAAATTGGGTATTGTATGGGGTTGAATAGCATCCTTTGACCGAGCTGATAAAATCTCTTTAGCAGACGCGCGCTACTGAATGGAATAAAAAACGTGAAGGGGAAAAAAACGCGGTTCGCATAGGATTCGAATGGGACTATTAGCTCATACATACAGAAGTAGAAAAAGATGTTTACTTAAACTTAAAAACTCACCTCGAACCAAGCGTTGGGGTAGCTTATCTTTGGTCGAACAAACCCCGCGAACGCCAAGTGCCACGTCACAAAACCAAAGGGAAGGTAAACGCTTAAACTGTAATCTTGCTGAGATTGGATTCTTCTATTTAAAATGTCGTTGAAACAAAACCATTCTTCCGCTTCGACGGTGCTTAAAAGCGAAGAATCCTTTATTTGTAACGTTGGGAAATTTTCGAAAATTCCTTGAGTTAATCTTTCGTAATCGCCGAACGATTGGACGGTGTTTAAAATTTTTTTCGAACGATTTTTTGCTGTTTTTGCACGCTCAATTTGAAATATATCTTGCCAGACGGCGAATAAACCTTTTTGCATATCTTTTTGCCCTATATTCATTTTCCAAACGTCGCTTAACGTTACCGGCTTATTTTGTACTTTAAAAAAGTGTAAAATCGATAAACAAGCGCGAATATCGTTTTCAGTTTTTTCAGCCAAAGCTAAAAGTGCGCCTAAATCCGTTTTGATACCTTGGTGTCGTGAAATTTCATTTAATCGTTCCGCTAAACGGTTACTTGCAGTTGGGGGGAAATTTACAATAAATGATATTTGTCGCAAATTTCTTAAAGAGGGAACATAAACGTCGTTACAAATACAAATAATCGGCCGTTTTAAAACGTGTTTAATCCCTGATTTTGATTTTTTCTTTTTTGTCTCAATACCGTTTATAAACTTAATTAAATAATCTATAGAGTTAGTTGGGGCGCCATCGATTTCATCGAAAACTAAACAATTAGGGCGTTTATCCAAATCTAAAACTGATTTCATTGATGTTGCGTTTTCTAACGCGTTTCTAAAACTATCCAAATTGCGATCATCTGAAGCATTTATCTCCACTACGTTATAACCGCAATGTTTAGCCACCATATGAGCCAAAGTTGTTTTTCCTAAACCTGGTGGACCACATAATAAAGCAACTTTATATTTTGGTCGCCCATCCGGCTCCAATTCTAAAACTAATTCTTGTTTTTGAAACTTTTGAAATGGTTTATTTTTCAAATTTGCTGCAGATTGTTGTTTTATTTTAGGATTACGATGAAAAACCGCTTTATCCCATAATTTTAACCACTTCAACAATGTTCTATTTGTTGATTCATCGCTTAATAACTCGTAATATTTTTTTGGTTTATAAATTTCAACCCAAAGATCTTTATTGTTTTCTATTTGAAGCATTTCTTCGGGATTTATTGATTCTTGATTAGATGTTGATTCAAATTGTTTGTTAATCTAAAAAAAAATGTTTTTTAAATAAATTTTAATTAAAACGCCATCTATTTTTTAAAGTGCGAAGTTATTAAAAAAGGAAAGTAGATGGCGCTATTACAAAAATCAAAATTATTTACATTTTCTTGAGCTTCTTTCCAAATATCATTAAAAGTAGACCCCATAACACCCCGAAAATTTGATTGTCGCGCGATCCTTTCGCGTTCTTCTTTCTCAAACATCTCCGAATGGCAACGAATATAAACTCTTTGTCCTTCCTGGTTCATTAACGCAATAAAGGAATACTTTGGAACACTTAGAGATATATTATCTGGATTATAGCTAATAGGGGTTGAATTTTCACTACTTAAAGCACTTGTAGGAACAATTCTTTCTCGGTTAGCTTTCCTCAATTGAACAATATGCTCAATAAGGGCTAAATCATCGTGATTCTCAGCATTTTTACGCTTTTTCTTGATATAAGGAGCGACATTTTCACTTAAAATATCATCTATATCACCAAATAACTCCTGAATACTTCTTTTATTAGTTACATTTTGAGTGTTTATAACGGTATCTTGAGATTTATCAGGTTGGGATGCTTTTGGAGGATTATTGTTAGGTTGAGAGTTTAATTCATTAAAATTTAAAGCCTTTTTCGCTTTTGGAGCATCTTCAACTTCTAAAATCAAGAAAAAAGTTGTTTAAAAAGTTTGTTGTTAACTACATAACCTCACTTATGTACTAATGATTAAAGTACCTTCTTGTTCGCGTAATAATTCGAGTTCATCTTCGTACATTAACTCAAATTCTTCTTCTTCTGTTGGATAATCCATGTTTTGTTACCTTTTATTTATTTATTTAATAATAATTATAATAACAATAGTTTTACGCGCCACAATCAAGAATCAAGATGCGTTTAGAGCGCCATCTTTTATGAATTTAATTAATTATAACTAATAATTATAATAATTTATTGCACTTTATGCTTATTTCGTTATTATTGGTTAGTTTTATTATTTTGTTATAATAATTCGTAATAAAATTAATTGTATTTATGGATAATGTTGATATTAAGATAAAAAAATAAGATATTGTTCAGCGCCATCTTTTGTACAATTCGTGAACTATACGAGTTAACCTAACTTTTTTTTTTTTAAGTTTTTCTAAAAGAAATAATACTAAAACGTGTGATTAATCTCTTATTTCAGCAAAGAATGTACCATACCTAGTTGATATAGCCATTGTGAAAGATGTGAAATGTTAATGTCATGGAGAAAAGGCTCAAGAAAGTACCAAAATAAGGAAATGTAATCAACCAAGTCCAAAGTGAGTACAACTTGATAGACTCAAAGCATAACTCGCTTAGTAGGTTTAATAATTTTATTTAAAGGCTATTGGTGACGAAATAAGTGGGATTTGGCCACCTCGGAATCCAAAAAGTTTGAACCTGGTTAAAATCATGGATTAGAGAAATGGTTTTCATAAAATTCTGTTACTAACAACTCATATAACAAAAAGAGGCGCTTATAGCTACATTTTATTCCTTTATACTTGGAATAAATATATTTTATTAATAAAAATTTTAAATGCAAACAGCGCCATCTATTACAGAATCGCCGAACTGTACCAAAATATCAAATTATATTGTAGATATACTTATATTATTTTTTTAAACAAACTTTAAAGTTTCTGAATAATAATTTGCAAGAAATGAATTATATTAGATTATTTAAAAAAGAAAAAAAATTATTTTTTTTAAATAAGTGACATTAATTGCGCCATCTATGAATCAAATTTCGAACCAAACAAAACCGCATCAAATTCAAACAATATAAATAATTTAATTGCTTTTTTATCATTTTGTTGCTGTTAAATCAACGCAACCGGTCATAAAAACATAACAATCTCATAAATAAAGTCTAAAAATATCATTGAAAACGCGTTTTCACTCATTTTAACGATCCAAAAATAACATAACTCCACAGAACATCCCAATAATTTATTTAAGTTGTTTAATTTTTCAATTTAGCAAGATCGTTCACCGTTTTAAACGATAATTATTCAAGTCCATGGTTCAATTCGAGGCGCACGCTACATCACCATGAAATAACAGTTAATTTTTAAGTTTTAAGGTCGATACACTAACGGAAGTATTCATTTAACGCGTTTTCTTCACTAAAACATCTTTAGTTGTCAAAAAAAATAAGTTGTGAAGGCTTAAAGTGTTAATTGTTAAATCAGCTGTTTAAAACGCATTGTTTAAGAAAGAGGAAGGAGATAAAAATCCGGTTTTGGTTTCTTGAGAGAAGAAGTTCTCAGTACAAAGAACGCTGAGTCAGGGAGAAGAATTATATTTATATATTTAAAAATTAAATAGTTAAAGGATAAAGATGATTATAAGCGAAGAGATAATCGAGTTTAAAACGACCTTTGAACTTGAGTTTTGATACAAGAGAAGTGATTTCATTAAAATTGTGTTATTAACATGGAAAATAAAATGTGTAAAGTTGTTTTTGGCTTATTACTTTGTGGATTATCTTCAGGATTTGTTTTAACTTCTTCTACAAGTGATGAGTTTGAGAATGGGTTTTTGGAAAAAGGAAAAACTTGGGTTTATGATTATTCCTCGAAAACTCAGTTGAGTAACAAAAATGATCCAAATCAAATTGGGTTTTTATTAAAAGCAACGGTTATCGTGGAGAGTGTTTGGGATTCGAGTGATTTTAATCGGATTTTAAAGATTTCTGTAAGTTATTTTTTAATGATTGTCTTAATTATTTTTTTTTATATTATGCACCGCGGTATGCATCACTTGACTAAGCGACAAATGAATAATGGTGAATAATTTTTTAAATCAATGTGAAATGACCCAAAAAACATGATAAAAATAAAAAGAAAGTGCGAAAAAATATCTAACACTAGATTAACTTCACCTATAAAACTTCTATTATATGATAACTAACTTCAGGTTTAAAATGTCAACCTCNACAATCTTCTGCAAACAGTATCTAGTCTTCTGCAAGCAGTATTTAGTCTTTTGAGACCAGTATCTAGTCTTCTAGAAGCAATATCTAGTATTCTGCAAGCAGTATCAAGTCTTCTGCTAATAGTATCTACTCTTCTGCAACCAGCAAGTAAACCGTTCCAAAAGAGTCTGAATTATTTCTAGATGGAAGTTGGCCAAAGTGAAGAAGAACCATTATGAAGAAGACCATAATGAGGACTACAGAAATAACAACCTAAACACCAGGAACCAAGCATACAGTTGGAAGACGTTTGGACTTTCTTTATGCTTTTGCTGGAAAGAATGCTGGAAGATATCCATATCACAAGAAGGAATGAGACAAAATAGGAAGGACTAAATCCCATTGCAAGAAGAAAACAGAATTATTGGTTTTTTAGATAGTTGTTATTTTACAAAAAACCTTATCTTATGAACAGTGTTTTGAGTAACGATAGACATCAACTAGATAACGCATCAAGTGCTCAACGATCTCATTCAATTTTTGCTGTATATGTAAGAAAATAATGGATGAGGGAATCATCAAGTAGCAAAGTCAAATATGCCAAAAAGTCTCAAAAAAGGAAACCTCAAGATACCAAAGAACACAGGAAGTTGCAATCTTTCCCTTGGACTTTGATTATCAGAAAAGAGCAAAATCTAGATGATAGTGTCTATAGTCTAGAGATCTCTGAGTTCAGGGCTATTGATGGTTACATTGAGGAATCAGAGTCTGCTTCAAAAAAACTTTTAAAACAAAAGTTGTAGCAAATTTTATGCTTAGCAATATTGCTCTAATATACTTTTGCTCTCCGATGCCTAGATATTGAGAAAAATACGAAATTATGAAAATTCTATGAATTTCGTCGTTTTGAAAGTACTGCATGGTAACACTTGGATATTGGAGCATGCTATAAAAAAACTTTTCGAACAAAAGTTATAACAAATTTCATTCTTAACAATATTGCTCTCTTATAGTTTTGCACTCAGAGGCATAGATATTGAGAAAAATACGAAAATATGAAAATTTTATGAATTTTTTCGTTTTGAAAGTACTGCATGGTAACACTTGAATATTGGAGCATGCTATAAAAAACTTTTAGAACAAAAGTTGTAGCAAATTTCATTCTTAACAATATTGCTCTCTTATAGTTTTGCACTCAGAGGCATAGATATTGAGAAAAATACGAAAATATGAAAATTTTATGAATTTCGTCGTTTTGAAAGTACTTCATGGTAACACTTGGATATCGGAGCATGCTATAAAAAAACTTTTAGAATAATAGTTGTAGCAAATTTCATTCTTAACAATATTGCT